GTAAAAATAAAATATAAAAAGCATGCCCTCTTTAAGAAATTGACTCTATTCAATGGCTTTTGCTTTGCGGGGAAGGGGGCTTTTGTTTTCAGAGGGCCCTTTGTCAACCATGTGCCCCTTCCTTGCCAAGGCTCCGGCTGCGCGCATGTACTGAAATATACGAGTTCATGAGTTTGGGGGCCCTTCGTGAAGTTTTTGTCCCCCCCCCTCTCATTTCAAATTCGGATACTCCGACCCTGACCACGAGAAAGAACGAAAACATGCGCACACGACCATATTTTGGTTCTGGAAATGCCGCATTCATTACCATAATGCCTCTCAAAAAGTTGAGTGTGAATGCCAATATATAAGCCGTACGGCTTAAATACAATGCGAGGTTCGCTTCACCTTTTTATGTCTTTTGACATTTGTTCTTTCATAGAAAAACTGCAACTTCTTTCGCATAGTCTGTCCGCAACAAGCACATTAAGTTGATGTGTGACTACATATACGCTTAAAGTAGGTCGCCCTTTCCCCAGCAAGACCTCAGGCATTTTAATCAAACGTATGCGTTATGTCCCGATTCTCGCCCGTCCCGTACCCGCTTGTTCCTTGCTTCTCGGAACATCCACCCCCCTCTCCCGCTCCACCCATCCCTGCTAAGCTAAAAAAAGTGTTATCGATCAATTGGCGTGGACAGTTTGTGTGCACGTGAGTAGTGACTTGCCGGGAGCAGAGCGTGGCTCGCAGCGCAGTTATTGACTCCACTGCCCAAGGATGCGTCCCCGCATTCCCCCACGCCGCGTCCCTGCCTCAGGCAATGAGATGACTACCAGCACAAGCACGATATGTGCACATTTATAGGTAGTCAGACCAATGTCACTATTTATCTATAAGTCAGCAATAGCCACAGCATCGCACGCATACGAAACGATCATTTTTACGTGTGTTTGCTCTCAAAGGCGTAGGAAGGTTCCAGAATGTGGCGGGAGGGGGGGGGGGGCAGGCTCAGGGTTCACCTCGGGCAGGAGCGGATTCAGAGGGGGAGAAACGGGATCATGCCCCCCTTAGGCCCGAAGGGGCCCATTGGCTCCGAATGGGCCTATAGCCGGCAGAACAGGTGGATTAAACACAAAACGCAACAAAACTGGGTATCTCTGGACTTCCAGGCCACCAAAAACAGTTGTGAGCGAAAGTGAAGGGCCTATGAGAAGTCAAAAAAATTATTCACTGATTGGAAAAGTTGTGAACTGGAAATGTTAAGCCCCATTACACTGTCTAGGGGCCCCATGCTGTTTCCAAGCGGCCAATATGCCCACTTGCAGGATCATTTCGATCGCTGAGGAGCATTCCACGTTTCTGAATGGGGGATCCTACGCCCTTGTGGAGAGACCTATCTGATAACCTTCCCGGTCACATTCGATCGTTTGGGGGGCCCTCTACATTGGGGCTTGGACACGTGCTATTTGAATGGGGCTCTACGCACTTTGAGGCCCCCTCTGTTTGCCTCCTCGGCCACACTGGATTGCTCGGGGGCCCTGCACATTGATCCTTGATATTTAAATTTAGGACCCTGTGCCTCTATCGGGGTCATCTGATAACCTGTCAGGGTACACTCCATCCTTCGGTGCCCTCCGCACCGGGTTTTGGGTGCTTCTTATTTGAATGGAGGGCCTTACGCTCCTGCCGGGGCCTTTTCATTGAGACCTCTACATTTGGTTTGGGTACTTCATTTTTGTATGGATGGCCCTCCGCTCTTTTCGGGAGCCCTATCTGTTAACCTGCCCGGGCGCACTCGATTATTTGGGGCCTTCTACATCGTGCCGTGGTTATTTCATATTTTAATGAATGGCCCCACGCTCACGGATGGCCCTACGGGGGCCCCATCTGTAACCTCCTCGGGCACACTCGAATATCCGGGAGCCCCCCACATTGTATCTTGGGTACTTCCTATCTGAATGGAGGGCCCTAAGCACTTCTCGGGGGCCTATCTATTTGCCTCCTCGGGTACACTGGATTGTTCGGGGCTCTGCATATTGGGTCTTCGGGTTTGAATTTATGACCCTACCCTCCTGTCAGGGCCATCTGATAATCCGCTCGGGTACCCTCTATCTTCCGGGGCGCCTCCGCACTTGGTTTTGGGTACCTCTTATTTGAATGGAAGGTCCTACGCACTTTTCAGGCCCCATCTGATCACCTGCTCGGGCACATTCCATCCACTGACATAAGGTCTTGGGTGCTTCCCGTTTGAATGGAGGGTCTTACGCTCTTGGGCGCCCTATCTGTTAACCTGCCCTGGCACACCCCATTATTTGGGGGCCCTGTTAAAGGGATCTTGAGTACTTCCTATTTAAACGGAGGTCCCTACGCTCTGACCTGCTGGGGCACCCTCGAACGTTGGAAGCCCTACATATTTTGTGGTATTTCTTATTTGAATGGATGGTTCTATGTTCTTGGCGGGCCCCATCTATTAAGCTGCTCGTGCCGGTGACGGATGTGAAGGGGGGGGGGGGGGGGGCACGGACCATGTCCCCATGCTGAGAGGACATAAAGGCTCTGAAGGGGCCCATAACCGGCCGAACAGACGCGGTTTTCTTACAACAAAATTGAACGCCTTTGGACCTACATACGATCAAGAACAATTGCTAGCAAGAGTAAAGAGTTAATGAGCAGACGAAGTTAATTTTTTCGTGGTTGAAAAAGTGTTGCTTGGGCGGGGTGAGTTTGGGGGCTCATTACGCTGCCCAGAGGCCTTGCATTGCTGCCCGGGCCCTATATGCCCGCTTGCCGGGTCGGTCCGATCGCTAAGGAGCTTTCCACGTTGCCTTTGATCTCTTCGCATTTCCTCATAGCGCCCAACGCTGCTGTTGAAACGCGATCTGCCTCCATGCCTGGGCACTCTTAATCGACTACGTTTTCCTCCACAGAGTTTTCTCATTTGCCCGAAAGGGTCTATGCGCTTTTCTGGGGCTCCAAATGCTAGGGTACACTCAGTTGCTCAGGGGCTCCTCATATTAGTCTACGGTTATTTCCACTTACTTGGAGGGCCTTGTGCCGTTGCAGTGACCCTTGGTAAGGCACCGAAACACTCGATGTTCAGGGGCCTTGACCTTGATCGAAGGCTCTCTCCCTTTGATCCCATTTGCAGAAGACTCTTCATTCGTATCGAGGCACTTTCTGTTAACGTGCTCGTACTCTTGTTCGCGCAGAGGTATTAGTTCATGGTATCGGATGCCTCCCCTTTCCTCAGATGGTCTTGTGCTCTGGGTGGGGTAACATATGCCAGCCTACCGGGCCGCTACCGATCGTTTAGAGGCCCCATCTCGTTGGTCTTGGGTTCTTTTTGTTTGCTATGAGGATCCTATACTTGTCGACGGGAGCCACTTTGTTGGCCTCCCGCGACACCCATGATCGCACAGGTCTCGTCCCAATTGCCCTTGGTGCCTTCGCCTTAGAGCGGAAGTCAAATATGCGCCGATGAACTTTTACGTGCAATTGCCGAACGTAATTTTGCATGTCGCCGACGTCGTACATGCCGATGTGTCATTTGCATTGCCTATTAAGTATGACACTTATTATACTGTGACATCACGTTCTTAACATACTTTGAATACGGGAATATGATGTATTCCTTTATAACAAAGAAAAAATTATGCATTAGTCATAAGCCATCGCCCAGCCAGTTAGCCATAAATACATAAGCTAGGAATGAAGTCCGTGCTTAGTTTTGACGGTAATTAGCAGCCAATTCAAGTTTATTTTGTCTGCTGTTTTGAAACACATAGCCTGGAAATCACAGCTTTCAACATAATCTGTACAAAATGAGTGAGCTCTACGTGTATGGATATACATGCGTCCCACGCCTAGTTTTACAAGTCTGTGCACAGTAAGATGGTTTTCTGCATTTATGAAATCAATAAATAAGTACACACACATACACACACACACTCACACACACACACACACACACACACACACACACACACACACACACACACACACACACACACACACCACACACACACATTTATTATATTATATATATTTATATATATATAATATTATATATAATATATAATACACATAACACAACACATGTATAGGTATATACATATATATATATATATATATATATATATATATAATATATATATTCATTTATCACACATGACTTTTCTTAAAATCTAATAACCAAAAAAGAAGAGCATTTTCTTGAAGGGGCCCCAAACTCCAGGGGCCCCACAATGTTGTGTGACCCCCTTGACGAAATCCTGGATCTTCCCCTGATTTTGGGAACTTCTGGGAAGCAAGGTTGGTGACCGGGGAGGGGGGAGATATAGGGTATTATCCGCGCTATATTTCACATAACATGGTTTGGGGAAAAATTAAACAATAAATGTCATTGTTCCTATGCTAGACATACATCTACAGCTATTTCTCACTGGCGTGCAAACTGAACGAAAATCTGAAGAAAGCGCTGGGCCATTAGCCCCCTGCTCGCCCCCCCCCCCCCCCCCTCCCTCCCCCGCCTCGTTTCCACGTCTGTGCTTACTTTTATTTGTAATGTTCACTTTGATTTACGCAAATAGTTATGACACAACACATTTCTAAGGGAGAGGCGCATCCAAGGGCACGTGCACCTCCAAAGGTCCCTGGGCAGACAGATGTCGAGCTGTCTGAGTCGTGGTCCCTGCAGCGTTTTGACATGACATTGTACGACGATGTTGTATTTTAGTACCATTTTACCAATTGCAGGCATCAACAGTAAACCATAACCAGAGGCATCATTATATTACGCCCTGCTGGATCCCTAGTGTCATAAATATGAAACATTCACCTCAAGTACAGAATCTATCAGAATATGTTAGAACTAAAAATAATTGTCATCAGACATAATCGAAGTATTTTTCTTATTGCAGCGTCACCGAAAAAAGCTGTCATTTATAAAATACTAGTAGAAGGGTTCGGGAAAGCACTGAGAATAAAGCAAACTGAATAACTTTGACAATTACGGTGGACGTAGACGAATAAGCCCTTCCATCATTTATGTCGTTTGCGCTTGATGACTGTTGTTCGGGAGTTGTTGCATTGGCGTTCGCGAAATCAGGTAGGTAAGGTAAATTGGGTAAATTATTGTGTCATTTTTCGTCAGCCATTCTAAGTATCTCATAATTTGGTACCGCTGGAAAGGATCGGGGACCTCGGAAAGAGGGCAGTACTGATAATTTAAGTGTACTTGTTCGGTGTTTTTTTTACCGAGGTGGCTAGCTAAAACAGTATTTTCGTGGTGTAAGCATTTATGGATAACTATGGTAAACTAATGTTATTTTGAAGGTCGTATTCCAAACTGGAAGATAGTGGACCGATCACCGGATATGATAAAGTAACTCGCTTGTAGCTGTTGGTATACTTTAAACTGGACAATACTACCTGAGCCAACACAATTTCTCTGTTTAGTAAATGTGCCCCTCAATATGTCAATGCTTACTTAAATTATCACACCATATGCAACATTGATGAATAGCCAATTGACAACTGTTTTAGTTGTATTCTCAAATGCCAGGCAGGGACAACTCAGATATTTTGTATTGGCCTGGATCACTGCCTTGCTAAAAGAATGGCTGGAATTAATTGACATATGGCATCATGGATGCCTGGGTGACCTTGAAATAGTCACCCTGAAACAGCATTCATGCTCATGGTCGATGTAGCTCAGATACTAAGGGGTTAGTTCTTGCAAAAGAGCAGGGCCGTGAACTGCACTGTATTATCTTCAAGATGCTTGTTTCAGTTCAGAACCCCATGCAAATGTGGAACACTACTAAACCCCTATACCAGAGGAAGCTAATCTTTGGTGACTGTACAGTTGGTCCATTTACCACTAGATCCAGTACTCCACAATTTGCAAATGTTACAAGTGGTACAATGTTTAAAAAACACTGCTTAACACTGCACTCAGGTGTGGGAGGCTATTTTGCCCTCCTTCCTGAAGGTTTTCTGGAATGGCATCCAAGTGGCACTGCATTGCCACACAAATTTTCCATAGCTCTAGACAATTAAATAGCAGATTGTTTAGTATCAACAATTGTTATGTGCCTTGTAAGGTCACTGACTGACTGCAGGTCAAGGTCAGGCCATGGATTCTGCAAAATCCAAGGGAATCGTTAAACCTGATGTGACCATGGAGCATTAAGATGAAGCCATACATATTTGGGACACTTTCTTAGGCAATACAACAGCTGAATAAACAGGTTCCATTGGCCCAGGGCTAGGTATGAAGGCCACCTGTATCCACTGTTTCAATAGAAGCTGCTTATCTGATCATATGATGCTTGATTTGGGGCCCAAATCATGTTAGGATGTGACAGGTAATTCAGATCCATAACACACACAATTTTAAACATTTCACCCCACCTTCTAAAGCAGGCTCACTTACAAAAAGAGATGTAAGTCAGCTCTTTGGGTACCATCCAAACACATGGCAGTACTTTGAGCTCTCAAATGGCAAAAAGGCTCTGATAGTTTTGAGCTAAAAGGGCAATGCTGTTAATACTCACTATATTATACTACCTCTGTGGAAACCTTGTGTGATAGATTTGGTTGTTTGTGGTAGATCATGATTTAGATAGCTGTTAGCCACTGCATTTGGTCACCATTCATTGTTCCATTAATTGGCCACTTGGGTGGCAGGGATGACAATATTTGTTGTGCTATGTCACCCTGACTTGGGGTACACTGCCTGCTGTCCATCCCTTGCTAAAATTTGGTCAACCAGCACCAAAGCAGATGCAGTTAACCCAGCATCTAAGGATCTCAGACTTGGCAAATGGGCTGGGTAGATCAGACATCTGGGTTTTAGATCAAAGGGCAACATATAAGCCACAACAAATCATGTAGAGAAGCCCCTAAGAGCCAGGATTTTGGTTGCGTGAATATGTATTTACATCCTGCACATTCCACTGGATAAATTTTGGAATGCTGTCCATGTCCTCTGGATTGTTGCTGCCCTAGATATGTTTTGTCAAAGATATATAATCCTTTGCAAATGAATGGAATGAGACAGGCAGTGCTGTAGATGTCCAGGGTAACAAAAAACTGAGATCTCCTCCAGATCACTAGGCACACATACCAGGTTTTGGTTTGCTTCATTTGAAACATAACCACACATTGTCTGACTATGTGGCATTTCACGATGTGAGCAATCAGTTGATAATATTCACAGGCTGGGGTGCCGGTAGTGTAGTGGTTAACGGTGTGCATTAACAACTGCACGTCTGGGAAACCAGAGGTACAGGGTTCGATTCCCCGCGGTGCCCGCCCTTCCTGCCAGGGTGAGAGGCAGGCGACGCCATACAGCCTCAGCAGCTGAGTGCGTTGTAAAGCCCAATGACATGACATGACATATTTATGGGCCAAGGCCCCAAAGTGAGGTTACTAGTTATTTGACCAGGAAACATATTGAATATCTCAAAGTTGTTTTGAAAGTGGTCTGGTGTCATGGTAACTTAATCCAGATTCTTTCCAAGGGTGCAATAAGGATATTCGTAAGAGAGAGAGAGGGAGGGGGGAGGGTTTTTTCTGCATTCTGCGTTATCACCTAGGTGAGAATGCATCACACCACTTTTTTACATTCTGTCAGAGCCATGATGGTGATAAGTAAAAATGGGCTTAAGGAAAGAGAATCTGTGGGACTGTCCCTCTTGGCTGAATCTCTGATTCATTTAAGGGAGATCCAAAAAAACATTCTAAGATTGAACAGAGCTGTAGGAGATTTTTGATGCAGCAGGACGAGGCATGGTGGTCACAGTGACAGACGATGTTTTGGCCAGTTGCCACCTGAGCTTTACTACTGGCATAAGACATGCCATCCCTAAAAGGAAATTAAACTCAGGCATCTGCTAGTGGCTGACGTGAAACGCAATGCTATATCTAGTTATGCTCTTTTTAATGGGGAGGGTGAGATGGTGGCATATGGCCATGTGTGCACAAAGTTATCTACACATAATGAGTGCCAGAGTGATGCCTTTCACTACCTTCAAGGCTCACTAAAAGGCTTGTTTGAAGTGTGGTGTTTATTCCGTGTTGTGTTCCGTTTTCTAGTATCGTATCAGCACTGATACGGTCACACAGGGACCATCATTTGTCACTGATACCCAAAGGCCAAAGCAGTGTCATAGAGTGGTCTTGAATAATGCATAAATGCTGTCTGGCCTTTTTAGAAATGTGATGCATCGTGATTGCTTCATTCGCTCAAAAAATCCTTTCATGATCACAGATATTATGCCGACTTCCATCGAACACAAAAATATACCGCACTAGTTTATACAGCACCAGTATATATGGTGCTAGTGCATGTGCATTAGCGCGCCATTGGCCACGGAAAGCTCATGAAGTGGATATATTTCCGAAATGGCTCCAGCTCACTGGATATTGTTGGACAAATTGCACTGTGATGGGTTCGAGCTGAATGCCTCGTGGGCAATGTAAAATCGGTCCAAGTTAAAAGCGGTTTTGATGTCGCTTGATCCAATATAATGCTGAAGTGCATATTATTATCAATAATGAAGCAAGTTTTTGACGAACACGACTTACGCCTACCGTACAAACAGCCGAGGTTTGGGCCATGGACACTGCTAACGTCCCATGTACTCTGTCGTTTCAGAATGAGTCGTTTCATTCCCAATGAACTGGTGTGGGTGAAGCTGGGCGGGGTTCAGTGGCCGGCCGTTGTCAAAGACAAGGCGGATTGCGAGGAATTTCTGGAGGCCCTGAAGCGAGATCCGATCGTCGTTGTCGAGTTCTTCGACAAAAAGCTGTAAGTTCGTCGGGCCTGAGCTGCTTTCATGAGGGCTTCAATCGAATCGTGATTGCGCGCTCCTTCGTCTATTACCTTTTTTAATGTTGTGTCAGTGTTGGATCTTCACTGAGAAGATAATGCAGTTATGTGTATGGCTATGTCTATCGGCATTTGGAGTGCTACATTTGTCATCACCGTTGTGTTGATCGTCTTTTTTAAAATATCGTCAGTGTCGTGCATAGTGTTGCTTCAGTAGTATTGTTGGGCTCGATTCGCAGTCACGTTAAAACAGGGGCCTAGATTATCCCCATTCTTGGGCATATCCGGACGAAATGCGCGTTTTTAATGGACCAAAGATGACACAATCCTTTCTCATCAGGCCCCAGCCACTGTAACCCTAATTGCCTTTTCCAGTCACGATGTTTATAACAAGAACCAGATATACCGCTACAACTGCGAAGAAAAAGAAGAAATTATGCTGAAAAGCTTGCGTGAGTAGTTTGGTTGGCGGGATCGTTGTTGTCACTCACCTTAATCAGCCCTTTTTTGAAGCTTGGAAAATCGGAATAAAAAACAGCTAAGTCAATTTTATCGGATGCAACATTTTATTATGCATGTTGCCGAATATGGGATCGCGCATTCGTCATGTGGTATTGTTCACTATGCGCCGGTACACATTTGTTGTGTGCAGTAGTGCAATGTGGTGGAAAACGTTATTTAATCTATCTTCGGTGTATTGATGTGCAGGTCCACAAATGGGCGGCGGTGTCAGCGACGCCCTGCTTTTTTCAGAACTAACGAAAAACAAACCGGACATTTCGGAAAATTTCAAGAAAGATATCATCACAGCGGAGAAGCTAACTGATGGTGACATTCACATCCTGAGCAAGGGAAAGTTTACTCTCACCGGACGACAGAAGTACGACGAGTTGTTCAGCTCAGCGAAGAAGTCGCTGGCCAGGCCAAACGTCAAAAGGAAACCTCCAAAGCCCGACGAATCGCCTCAGAAATCAAAAACGTCGAAGTACGCCGACATCTTCCCGGAAAACTCCTCAAAGAACCGGCGGTCCGCCAGCAAGCCAAAGAAGGCGACGAAGAGCCTGCCCGAAAATCCGCGACTCAACATCACGCACCCTCGCTTCATCGCTGAAAACGACCACAAGATTCGCATTCTGGCGTCGGCGAGCGCCGAGGCGCGGACGCCGGCGCCGTCCGGCTCGGACCCCTACCGGTGCGTGCAGTGCTCCTTCACCACGGCCCGCCTCAACGTGCTCATCCTGCACAATAAGACGCACGTGGCCGCCGCCGCCGTCAAGACGCCCACGGGCAAGCGGAAAAACGCCGAGCCCGGCGACTCCGCCAAAAAGCCGAGGAAGAAGCCAGCCGTGCCGGATGGTGCTCCGGCAAAGTCCGGCAAGGCGGCACAGCCCGGCGGCTCGCCCAAAAAGGCGGCAGGTGGCGCATCGGGCTCTGGCGGCACGGTCGCGGCGCCGCAGAAGAAGGCGGAGCCGGCACCGGTGGCAGACAAGCCGCGGACGCCGGTAAAGATCAGCCCGCTGAAGCCAAGCCACTCCTCCAAGCCGCTGTTGCTGGAGGACTGGGACGAGGACGACGACGAGGAGGCGGCCGAGCGGCTCAAGATCCAGTCCGAGATAGACAAGTTCATCAGCGACAAGGAAAGGTGCGTCAAAACGGACGAGGAGAGCGAGCCGACGGTGGACGACAAACCCAGTTTCCCGCAGACCGTTAAGGAAGAGGGCGCCACCTGCTGGTCGGCGGCGGCGGACGCCCTGAAGACTGAGGCCGCGTCGGAGGCGCCGCACGCGCAGGACGAGTCGGCGGTGGCCGTCAAGCAAGAGCAGCAGCAGCGGAACGACGCACTGCTGCAGGCGGCCGTGGACGACGTGCTGGCGGACACGGCGCCGGCCGCGCTACCGGCCCTGCCCGCCGGCCCGCTCGGCGGATTCGACTTCAGCGAGCCGGCCGACGAGGCGACGCTGCCGCGCTCGCGGCCAGTGCGCGTCTGTCCGGCCGGCTCGCCGCCGCGCCGCGCCGAGCCCGACGACGTGACGTCCAGCCGGCCCGGCGCGGCGGCCTCTTCGACGGCCGACGCGCCGCCGCCGGCCGCCCTGCCGCCCAACCTGCAGATCCTGTCCGTGCCGGGCGCCGACGGCCAGCCCGACACGTACGTGCTGGTCAGCGTTGATGACAAAGGCAACGTGCAGACGGTGAACCCGCTGGACAACCTGGGCGGCCTGGGCGCCGACACGCTGCTGGCCTACGAGGTGGTGCAGGAGGACGGCAGCACGCGCACCGCCTACCTCAACCCTGCGGCGCTGTCCACCAGCGCCGACATCAAGCACCTGCTGGGCGGTGAGGGACGCGTCGACTCGACCACACCCGTGCCCGACAGCAGCGGCAAGTAGCCGGCGACACTCGCCGGGGTGGACTCGTCGCCTTGAGAGGCGCCGGTCCTCTCTCTCACGGCGCGCGGGGAACGAGCAGCCGCCGGCACCCGTTCTGGCGGTGCCGGTGAGCTGATGAGCCGAGGGCAGCGGTGCCCTCCGCGCCGGCACTGCGGCCGGCGGCGGACAGTCGGCAATCGCTCGCAAGCGAGGCCAGCGAGCGGAGAGGACTCGGCCAACGGACTTGCCGAGTATGGAGCCAGTTGTAACGCTATGCATGCATGGTGCGTTGTTGAGGCTATTGTGGTGTGTTGAGACCGTCGTGGTGTGCTGATTGCGTTGTAGCGTGTGGAGAGCGGCAGCCGGACCTGTTGTGTGTTTAGTGTTCCGCGAACGGCGCGCGTACGTTACGCGGTATGTGGGGGACACTGTTGCGCCATCCGTGCTAAACGGACATGCTATCTTGGGGAGCGGGGGGGGGGGGGGGGAGATGTCCACAGAACTGCGGACTCCTCGGCAACAGTTTTCCAAGCGTCGTTCGCAATCGCCGAGAAGGCCGTCGACCCGCCGTGCACTGTCCAGTGCGTGTAAATGTGACACAGTGCACCACATAACATGGTGTCTTTTAGCATCACGGCCCTTTGCCGCAGTTTTCCAACTGATCAAAGCATTTAACAGAGCCGGGGTACCTTCGTATAGTAATGTATTTCACGGACATTCGTACCATGCATTATACAATATACATACATGCACCATAAGTGAACCAAGTCGGGATCGCAATAGTATGCAGTGGAATACGCGAGCAGCTTCGATTCCGCGCCAATCCTCTCCACGCGGTCGGCAGACGCGCCTCGTGGGAGCACCAGCCAGTGAAGGCGAGTGTCCGCACCGGTCCGGTCGCCATACAGCTGGCGTTGACCGACGCCAGCTGCCCGTGCAGGGGGCCGGCGGCGAGGACGGAGGCGCCGCCCGCACAGCGCCATGTCCCCTCGAACGTGGTGCGGCTTTGCAGGGTGTTAAACAGTCGCATACAAAGGCAGACTGACAAATGGTTTGCCCGCCCGCATCAACGCGCAATGTGCCGCCGCGGCAGCCCACAATCGCCCCGGCCGAACCAGCAGTTTTGATACTGAGCGCTTCGAAAATGAAGAGTGGTATTTGTTTGCCAAATAAATGCAGCATGTCATACGAAAAAACAACATCGTAGTGATACCATCATGGAGGACACCCAGCAAATCACCATTGCCTCTGACGTCTGGTTCTGGGCCTTTTCTGGCTCCAGCATAGCGTCGGGGGGCGCGGTGGCTCTTTCCCAGTACGAAAATAGTGTTGAGAATACGCGACCATTTGTAAGGCGTCGTCTGTTGTCCCGAACCAAGTGTTACGGAGGAATCAACGAAATACGCCAGACACATTGTTTAGGAAGAAAACTAACCCAAACGAGTAAATTCCAAAGTTCAGTTACATAGCCTGCGCTTACTAATCAACTGGCATTAGCACTCTAGATTTTCCCTAAATGCCGCTAGAATTGTGTCGTCATACGCACGATCCACACCACCTTGTTCCGGCTAGCAAACGGACAAGATCCGGGACAAGGCATAACCAGCCGGGGTATTGCCTCTAGCGATGGCCAACGAGCGATATGCGGTGGGCGGGGACGCAGTGCGGTGATATAACCTCAAAACTAGCCTTCGGACAGAGGCGATTGCACACAGATCAAGAACTATCGCTGCATCAGATTGGCTCACGAGCACCGCCGGTTCAGGTTTCTTGTCATCTTATTGGACGCCCTCCACACAGACATTTCAGCAGCAGGATACGACGAGTGCTCATTCCCGTTTCAAGGCGTGCATAATAATGGCCGTTATACAATGAACATTTATGTTTCCTTGGCCGTGACTCGTTCTGCTAGCCCCACAAACTACATTTGGAAAGAAAGATGCCATCGGTTGACGCGGGAGCAAAATCTTTTATCGCTAGTCTTGAACGAGCTGGTCATCAGCGTGTAAAAACTGCGCCAGAATAAGCCGTGCATCAACACTTTTCGGAGAAACCGCGGGACCGTGGTCGCCCCGCCGCCCCGTTCCATATTCCTGACTGGCCGGGGCGCCATGCATCGCGCCGTCGTCGGCCTGGCCGTCCAGCGCGCACCGCCACCGCCCTCTGGATCACAATCCAGCATCACAGTCCCGGGCCGGGCGGAGCGGCGCCGCTGCGGCGGCCCCCACCGGCGCCGCGACCCTCGCCGGCGCCCCGTCGCCCGGCCAACCCGACCCGGCACGGGCGCGGCCACGGGCGCCAGCACACACGGCCGCTGCCGCTGGAGGGGCTCACATGGGCGGCCGGTGTCCGGAGGCCACGGGCGCCGCGTATCCGGCGAAGTGGGGGTCGGCCGACAGCCCCCAGGCGGCGTGCTGGGGCGCGCCGGGCGGCAGAAGCCTGCAACGGCACACCGGCGGGTGAGGGGCGAACCGGGCCACGTCACTACCGCCAGCATCACCATGGAAACCGGCCATACGACATATGCTAGCGCTCCTCAAACGTATCTAATGCCGTGAAGGCCGAGGTCACCAGCCTAGGTCACTAAAAAGGGACGCCAGGAAAGCAAAAATAAAGGCCCAGAACACCAACTTCAAGGACGGCATAGCGGTGCATGTCCAAGCAGCCAGCAGCGAGACCCTAAGGCATAGAAAAAAATGTGCCGACGCATAGAACCTTCCAGGAACAGGCGCAAGTGTCGCAAAGGCAAGCAACAACGGCAAGGGAAGCACCAAGCTCAAGCCATCTTATACCGGTCGCGTGAATTGGGCGTGGGCGAGCGAAGCACCAAACCGCGAGTGCAGCACAGCTGACCAGCTTGCTGGTGGCGCAGCTAAACAGTCAACAGCGCTATCAACAAGGCAGCAGCAGACTACTTAGTGGCGGCGTAACTCACGACTTCAATAATGGGGCGGTTCGACTCCCGGGGGACTGAAAGAACGCAAACCAACAACATAAACACTCCGCAGGCCAGCAGGTTCCCACTCCTGTACGTGCTATGTAGAGCTACGCCGTCAAAGTTAGCTGTTACGACTACCAGAGCAGTACATCACACACTTCAAGCCCAAAGCTCACGAAGGACAACCATTTGACTGTACTGAAGACAAAAACCGCAGTCGCCAGTTCCCTGACAATGTAAGTCAGTGTTGATGCTTTCAAAATGCTTCCCTGCTTTTAAGCTCCACACAATAAAACGCCACGATGATAGCTGACCCGTCACTTTGAACCAGCGGAAACCCCGTAGTCAGTGCTTCTGAACTTGTGCGTGTATCTACGCGTGTTCTGTAGTACAGCAGTGAGAGTAGCACATTAGAGGAGTGGGAGGTGGCCACAAATGGTGATGCTTTTATCCATCAAGTGCAGCCCTTCCAGGAAAACCTATTTTTGCAGTGATGCAAACCATGTAAATACATCAGTTTTAGACAGCACTGAATAGCATCCCAAATTTGGAAAACGACCAACTAGAAGGAACTGAGGCCAATACGTCTTTTTGGCCGAATCAATTCCCACAAAGACAGCATTCCTTTCTAGCGCATCCAACGCCCATGAAGAACTTACGGTACGCCGGCGGTGGAGTGATCTGGGAACGGTGGGCCCATGGAGCCAGGCGGGCCCATGGAGCCAGGTGGGCCCATGGCACTAGGCGGACCCATGGAGCCAGGCGGACCCATGGCACCAGGGGGACCCATGGCGCCCGGCGGGCCCATGGCGCCAGGCGGGCCCATGGCACCGGGCGGGCCCATGGAGCTGGACGGACCCCCGGCATCCATGTGGGTTGGCGGCGGCGCATGCGCGTAGCCGGCCATGTGTCCCGGCGCCGGCGCCATCATAGGGCCCGCGCCCATGTACGCCTGTGGGACACGACATGGGGCGGTTAGCTTACGAACGGGGATGCGGAGCTCACCTGTCCGACCGGGCCGTACGGGAGTTGCCCCGTTCTAGGGACCTCAAGACGTCAGTTACATAATGAACGGGTGACCTTGTGCGCCCCAAGGCTAGTCCGTTGGGTCGTTGTATCAGACGCCACAGGTACACATGTGAGACCTGAGCAAGGTCAGATCTGACCGCGCCACGCTCGCCAGCCCCTGGCGGGTCCACCCAATGCCATGACCGATGTGGTGGTGGTCTGGGGTTTCAGGGTGCGCGGTGCCGACCAGCGTGGAACCCACGACAGTTCATGCACGGCCACACCGCATTGTTGGTCCGTGAAATAATCAATGTACGAGGAAGCAAATCACACAGCTCGTCAGATGCTCGTCAAGTGCTCGGGAGAGCCTCTGGCCATCGAGCCGACGGAGGAGAGAGCGGGCGCCGGCGGGGCGAGCGGCGTCACGCGGGGACAGCGCCAGGGACCCGTCACCGCTGACCATCGCGGTCGGTCAGAGCACCACAGCGCGCACCGGGCCGCACTGAACCTGCCACATCCGAAACCGGCCGCGCGTAACACGAAAACCACGGCACTGTGCGTAGACCAGAATATCCAAAGCATATCCAGCCTCATATCCACACACTGCCTGTGCAACCGACGTCAATCACAAACCATTTCAACACAACGGGGAAACAAACATGCCTTCCGCAGCCACAGAACTTCCTATGTGTTAAACAGCTGCTGGGGCCAGCAGCCGCCCGCCGCCGGTGATCAGGACGACGACCGCAGCGCCACCTATCACACCCTAACCAACACACCCGGCGAGGGGCGAGTGCTCGGCTCACCTGCGGCGCAGAGTGAGGCGGCATGGGGCCCGGTCCTGGCGGCGGCATACCGCCGAAGTAGCCGGGCGCGCCGTACTGCTTCAGGTGGTGGGGCTGCGGCGGCTGCGGCGCATAGAAGCCGGAGCCGGCCGGCGGCTCCCGCATCAGCTGGTGGTACAGGTTGAGCGCGTCCACCAGGTCGGAGCTGATCTTGGTGAGCTGGGCGTGCCGCCGGTCCGTCCGCTCTAGCTCCTGGTCGATCAGCGGGCCCATCGCCAGACACTGCTCTGTGGACGGCAGTACGGTACGGTCAGGCGGCGGTACGTCGGCACCAGACACTGCTCTGTGGACGGCAGTGCTGCACGGTCAGCCGGCGGTATGTCGGCCCCAGACACTGCTCTGTAGACGGCAGTACGGTACGGTCAGCCGGCGGTATGTCGGCCCCAGACACTGCTCTGTGGACGGCAGTACGGTACGGTCAGGCGGCGGTACGTCGGCACCAGACACTGCTCTGTAGACGGCAGTACGGTACGGTCAGGCGGCGGTATGTCAGCCCCTGACACTGCTCTGTGGACGGCAGTGCTGCACGGTCAGCCGGCGGTATGTCGGCCCCAGACACTGCTCTGTAGACGGCAGTACGGTACGGTCAGCCGGCGGTATGTCGGCCCCAAACACTGCTCTGTGGACGGCAGTACGGTACGGTCAGGCGGCGGTGCGTCGGCACCAGACACTGCTCTGTGGACGGCAGTACGGTACGGTCAGGCGGCGGTACGTCGGCACCAGACACTGCTCTGTAGACGGCAGTACGGTACGGTCAGCCGGCGGTATGTCAGCCCCTGACACTGCTCTGTGGACGGCAGTACAGCACGGCCAGCCGGCGGTATGTCAGCCCCAGACACTGCTCTGTGGACGGTAGTACAGTACGGTCAGCCGGCGGTATGTCAGCCCCTGACACTGCTCTGTAGACGGCAGTACGGTACGGTCAGCCGGCGGTATGCCAACCCCTGACACTGCTCTGTGGACGGCAGTACAGCACGGCCAGCCGCCGGTATGTCAGCCCCTGACACTGCTCTGTAGACGGCAGTACGGTACGGTCAGCCGCCGGTATGTCGGCCCCTGACACTGCTCTGAGGACGGCAGTACAGCACGGCCAGCCGCCGGTATGTCGGTCCCTGACACTGCTCTGTGGACGGAATCAAGGCACGGCCGCGGTGTGTCGCCCCAGACACGACCCAGGACCTACCATCGAGCGTAAGCAGCTACTCCCCTGAGAGGGACCGTGACCTCACACCTAACCTCGAGCGCGAGCAGCTGCTCCTCTGAGATCCCACACCTACCCCGAGCGTGAGCAGCTGCTCCTCTGAGAGGACCCCTGACCCCCATACCTACCATCGAGCGTGAGCAGCTGCTCCTCTGAAAGGACCCCTGACCCCATACCTACCATCGAGCGTGAGCAGCTGCTCCTCTGAGAGGACCCCTGACCCCATACCTACCATCGAGCGTGAGCAGCTGCTCCTCTGAAAGGACCCCTGAACCCATACCTACCATCGAGCGTGAGCAGCTGCTCCTCTGAGAGGACCCCTGATCCCACACCTACTCTCGAGCGTGAGCAGCTGCTCCTCTGAGAGGGCCCCTAACCCCACACCTACCCTCGAGCGTGAGCAGCTGCTCCGAGTCGGGCCGGTCTCCGGTCGGGTCGGCCTCGTTCAGCAGATGCAGCAGCTGGCCGATCTTGGCCTCGTCGATGGCGGCCGGCTCGGCGGAGCGCTCCACCGTCTTCACCTCCACCTCCTCGTTGAACTGCACGGACTTGCGCTGCTGCCGCTCGTCCTCTGGACCGGGCGGCAGACGGAGGCGTCAGCAGCGGAACAAGCGGCGCCGCACGAGGCTGATGTTAGGCCGGTGACGTCGCTGCACATCGCAGGGCAGGGTCCCGCATGCCGACACACCACAGGAGCTGACAGACCCATCAATGGACGTCGCCGCATATCGCAGGGTAGCTCCCGCACGCCGACACACTACAGGAGCTGACAGACCCTCAATGAACCCCACTCGGAGGCGAGGGTGGGGACACTAAGCCCAAGAAAAGATCGTGCGAGATAAAACTCCGCCGTGTATATATATATATATATATATATATATATATATATATATACACGTGTGTGTGTGTGTGTGTGTGTGTGTGTGTGTGTGTGTGTGTGTGTGTGTGTGTATATAATATACATTGCGTTGTACGCATACAATGATCCATGCAATGCAAGCCCTCAGAAGCCTTGGGCGGCAGGAGTGTCCAATTCCACATGATACAAGTTGCATGTCAACTACATAATAAGCCTATATCGTGCACAGACCACAGCATCGGGCAGTGGTAGCGGACGAGACGCCACTGCCCGCACGGGGCGCGGGGAAGCGACTTGAGGCGACTCACTCCACTGCTCCGGCTCCTCCTCCAGGTCGGATGTGACGAAGTTGGACGGAAACAGACCCTGGCCGCGGTGGTTGTTCCCCAGCCACCAGTTGGGGTCGCTGTCCTCGGTCACAAGCACTGGAACGGTGGATCAATTAGCGGCAGTGATGTCACATGAGGGGGGGGGGGGGAGGCCGTTCCCGTCACGCGGTTCGCCATTACACAGGGACAGCGGACTGCGTGAGGTCAGCCACGTGGCCCGATCCAGCGTCTGGGTGACCAGAGGTATGGAGTTCGATTCCCCGCGGCGACCCCCTGCCCGCCTGGACGGGAGGCAGGCGGCGCCATAAAGCCTCAGCGGCTGGTGCGTCATAAAGCCCGACGACAAGCAGTCATTTGGCCTTGAGTGGAAGCTCAGCTGTCGCGAATCGATAGATGACGTGCTTCGTAGCGGAACCAAACAGCACGGCAGAGGCCCGTCGAAACGGCTCACCACGCCACGGCGCACTTGCCTACGTCACCCATCGCCTCATTACCCTATCATAAGCCGACTCCTCGTATAAGTGCTATGCTACCGGCCCCACGCGCCCCGAATCCCAGACCCAGAGCGCTGGGCGAGTCGCCCCAGTCCACGCACCGATCTCGCCCGCCTTGAAGGTAAGCTCGTTGTCTTCTGCCGCCTCGAAGTCGTAGAGCGCGCGCACTTTCCGCTCCGTCTTCTGGGCGGCGCCGGCGGCCGGCGCGGCAGGGGCGGTGGCGGCGGCGGCCGGGGCCGAGCTGGAGGTGCTGGCCGACGCCAGCGACGCCGCCGACGGGTAGAGGCTGCTGGTGCGCGGCGACTTCTCGGCCTCCTTCATGGACAGCGCGATCGCTGCGAAAGCGCGAGCCACGTGAGCCCGGAGGCGAGCCGCGCCGGCGCGCGCGTGTCCCACAGCCGACCGAACGGGGTCACCGGGTCGCGGCGCCCGGCCGGCTGGCGCGCGTCAACGCGGCGTGTCATGGGTCCCGTCGCCGCTCGCGGGAGGCGATACGTAAACATTAACGTAGATGGAGGACGCTCCGGCATCCACACGTAAGAGCCCGAAGTTTGGTATGAATCTTGATCAGCGTTACAGGTGTTTTGAGACAACCGTTTTTTTTTCTCGAAAAGAGCTCAAAGCCAATATTGAGGCGATGCAGCACACTCCAGACCTGCATTGACGTAACCGATTGTTTAGTTCTTGGCGTTGCAATCGTTTCGTCACAAGGCACCCTGCATCCGTTTTCCACGACGCAGTCGAAAGTGGCGGCACGACTGTGCTCCAACGCAACGCTAGTTACAAAACCCTGGGGGTGGGGGAGGGGGAGAGGCACCCGCCGCCCGACCGGCGACACCCGTGCCCCCCCCCCCCCCCCCCCCACCCCTCCCTCCCTGCCGGGAGCAGCCGCCGCTCACCCTTGGCGATGTCGTCCTCTTCCTGCTGGGACGAAACCACGTTGGGATCGCGGCTGGCCGCCGGCTGCTTCTTGACGGGCGGCTCAGAGTCGGCCAGCTGGGCGTACAGGCCCTCGGCCTGAAGGCTGCGGTACAGGCTGGGCACCAGACTCAGCTGCGGATCCGTGCGGAACTCGGTCTCGGCCCACTTCTGCAGCGACTGCCGGGCGGGGCGGGCGCCGGCGTCACACACCGGGTGCGCACGGCACGGGCCGGTCAGCACATGACACGCATCGGCGCGACACGCGCGGCACACCGACGCACGAGACCACAGGCACGGCCACAGGCTCAGAGCTGTGAACGGCGCGTCTGGGCGGCCAAAGGTGCGGTGTTCGATTCCCCATGGTGCTTACCCTTCCTGCCAGAGAAGCAGGCCATGAAGCCTCAATTGCTGAGTGGGTCATCCACTCCGATAACAAGAACCGCACGCGCGAGGCACAACAGGGAACGAGCAAGCATCACACCCCCGGCACAATACGACGCCAACCTAGAGTGACCCTTGTTACTTTTCGAATCTAGATATGGTCATTCCCAAATTGTGACAGCGAACTTGGCCACAAAAACTGCAAAGCTTCAGAGCAATTAAGCAATATTCATTACTGCCCCAGAACACTTGGAGCCGGTCACCCGGGCATGGAACAGAGAATTTCGTGTTTTGCCCTGGTATCACCCCTGACACGGACTTGCCCTCCCTTTGAGCCATTGCGTTTTTATATGTAAAGGAGTGATCGGTTAGCTGAGGCATCAGACACGGGATCAGACGGCTCACTCCGCTGCAGCACCTGAGAGTTGTTTCCTTTGGTTGCCGAGCAACACGCAATCGGGCACAACGAAATGCAAATGTTCACATAGCACGTAGGAGCAGGGTAAAACGAGGGCAAACAAGATGGCGTTTACATGCTCCTAGCTCCAGAGATTTCGCATCTAATGGTACAGAAATAGTGCATAAAACAGTCTTAGTGAGCTCGGCAAGGTCAGTTACACTACCGTTAGAGTAACATTCCTTTCTGCTATCAGCTGGACTCGCAGTACGCTTCATATTGCCCTACGGCGCGTCAATCGAGAGTTCAACGCAGCGGAACACATGTGGCCAACTTCAACCGCTCTGGGAGCTGTTTCAAATATCATTCAAAGGCTCTCAAACTTCAGGCCTGCAGCCCGGTGCTGCCAACAGCTGGCGTGCCGACAAATCCAGGTCCTCGAGCGCATCCCAACTCACAGCCAGTAGTCTCGAGCCCACACGCTTGTGAGTGCTCTGGCTCAGCACATGCTTCTTGAACTCTTGTTCAAACTCGCGGCTGGCCACCTCAAGATGGAAGGGCTTTCCGCTGTTGTTGACACACGCGTCAAGCAACTGAAATCAGATGGACAGAGTGCTGTCAGCGTTGCCACTTGTGTTGTTGCCACGAGTGGCAACATGTAAGTTGCCACCCGTGAAACTTACAACATGCTGTCCTTAAAAGGCCAGCAAACCTGCCCGTTTTGAAGCAAGAACACAAGTATCAGTTTGCAGGTAAAACAAACGTCATGGCCTTATTCCTCGTAGAAAAAAAGAAATGGAGGGAAAGGTACGTTCATATTCGACCATATCCCTCTATCCAAACGAATATCAATGTATGTTGGCATATAAGGCATATAAAGGCATGGTGCTGAAAAATCAACGCATCTATCTCTCCATTTCATGGTTTTTCTACGATGAATCAGGCTATAACCACTCCTTTATCTATATGTGTAGTGCTCCTCGCAAATACACTTAACAGCTTACGAAATATTCATTTACTTTCGAAGAACAGATTCGGCTATCGTCTTCACCGAATGATCCAGGACAGTCAACGATCAGAAACAACAGTCTATTGTCACTTAACAACCCTCTTTCTAAGTTCCAGACACATTACATGATGGGTCCAATGAAAAAGTTTAGCCTTGGCCTACTATTCTGCATTATTCGTCGACACTCCTTTAGCCGCTTCTGTCATCAGCCATTACTGGCCATCGTCATCATCACCACAATAATAATAGTTGGTTTTTGGATTAGAGCCCTTTCGACCAGACATGATCATTTCAGGGCTATGGGATGAAGGAAAATGGTTAACGATGGGACAGACGTGCACGCGCCTGGGGGGCCAACCGCCGAGCTTCAACCCGCGCATGCGCGGGTACCCGGCCGGGGTTCCCCTTCCCACGGGGCTCTCGGCCCACTCGTGGCTGACGCATGCATCCTGTCCAGGACAAGCGGGTGTCGCGAGGACGCAGGATGAAGCGAGATAGAGGATAAGAGGGACG